GCTCGTCTGCGCTCGCGGCGAGGTCGACGCGTGGAGGGAAGAGGGAGGAGGGAGGGAGGGAGGGAGGGAGGAGGAGGGGACGAGGAGGCGGGGGCCCAGGGCCGCCCAGGTCGCCCCCCAGGGGGCGCCAGGATGGCCGCGCCTCGCGCGGTCGCGGCCCGGGCCAGAGCGGGCGCCCTTTCCCCGGGGGTGCCCTCAGACCTCGACCTCGACCTCCCCCCTCCCGCGGTCGAGCGGGGCCGGCCCCAGGACAAGGTAGGTCTTGCTTGCTGATGATACTCCCCGCCCGCCCGCCCCCGTCGATCTCGCCCCGAGGTCTCGGCGGATGCAGACGACTCGGCAGATCGCGGCCCTCCGGAAGTCCAACCGGGCGGCGAAGCTCAGGATCGAGGAGTTGGAGCGCCAGCTGGAGGAGGCGGAGGCGCGACGGCTCCAGGACTCCAGGAGTCGGAGTCGGAGGAGGAGGAGAAGAAGAAGGAAGAGGGGAGGGGGCCGACCGACAAAACGCCAGGCTCTTTGAGACACCGGTAGTTGGCTTCGGGGTCCCTCGTCGCCTCGGCTGGACGCAACTCGGAAAATGGGGTGCTGATTTTGAACCGATTTTCAATTTCCAGTGTCTCGACTCGCCCTTCTCCGAGACGAACTGCCCTACGCGTGCAACCTCGCGGCCCTGCCAGTCTGGCAACACCCCGCGTTCTGTCGGTCGGCCCCCTCCCCTCTTCCATCTTCACATCCTCCTCCTCCTCCTCCTTCCTCCTCCTCCTATTTCTTCTCGGGCCCCTCTCGGGAAGAAAAGGGAGGAGGAGGCGGAGGGGGGTGCGCGCAGGATCTGGGCTGTCGCCACAGTCGCCACATGACCACACCGCCGTCAGGGGCAAACCGCTGCCAGGGATCCGACCCCCTCCGCGGTCGCTTCGAGGCGGCCGGGCCCTCGGTGGGTAATCCAGCCATAATGCTGGCCCTTGCTGGCCTGCGCCCTGGGTCAGAGGGGGGAGGGCCCTGGCAGTCTTCTTCGCCCCTGGCGGCACTCGAGCACTCGGTCGACTTGCCGCAGCTCGAAATAGTTGGGGGCTCCCTCAGGCGCACTCCGTGGTTCCATGGTCTCGAGCAGGCATGTCCTACACGCGGATGCCTGTCTACAGGGGCTGCCATATCGCTCTTCGGAGGACGCTGTCGAACATGGCCGCTTCAAAAACGTCGTTGGTTTTGGGATTGGACACGCACTACCAGACCATATGCAGGTGGGAGATCCAGACGGCTGCTAGTTTGTTGGGCTCAGCTAAGATGCTTCAGCAACACTTATCAGATTACTTGTTGTTGCAAGGCCAGATGCGGGCTTTCTCATCTTTCAGATCATTTAGAATTCGTTGTGATGCTACGAATACCGCGCTGTGGCAACATAAGCAGAAGTTGCATGGCCTCAGCGTTCAATCGAGTTTCAAAGTGCCGTGCAGCAGCCGTGTCCAGGTTGGCAAGACATTGTACGCCGACCTCATCCCTCTCCCTGGCAACACGCCAGAGATTCTAGAAGGTGTGATTAAGAAGCAGATGAAATCAGTTGGCGCCCCCGTTTGGTGCGACTTGGGAGATGATCCACAGTGCATTTACACGTACGCCATGACGACGGATGCTGGTGGTGATATCCTTGCGACTCGGAAGCGCATATTGGGATCTGTTGCGCTTCTCAACCCTCGCGTGATGATGTATGACATGGATTGTCTTCAACACCAGGCTAGCCTGGGCAACCTTGACTTGTTGAAAGTAGTGGATTCAATGCTTATCCGACTGGTCAAAAAGTTTCAGCCAGACATCAAACCAATGAAGTATTGTTGTTCATTAATGAAAGTTATGAACTGCTGGAGGGATCACGCGAGTTCGATGTACTACATTTGGCACGATGTTGATAGAGGCAGCTCCCATTTCTGTGCAACGATGCCGCCCAAGCTGGTACCCTCGCGCTGGGGCTCGAAGCACGAGTGCGAGCAGCTGCTGTTGAAGGTCCCCCGGCGTGTGTTCATTTCCGTCATGCGGCTGGGGCTGGGCAAGAGGACCAGGCGCGGGGACGCGCCAACGTAACCGACGTCTCGAGGGGGGCGGGGGCCCCGTCCAAGGGGGGTGGCATGTGGGGGAAGGGGGAGGAGGAGGAGGTAGGGGGAGGAAGGGGGGGAGGCGGAGGAGGTAGGGAGGAAGGGGTCGCCCGCAGGCAGCAGTCCAAGCGGCGCAAGAAGGACGACCTGGCAGAGAACCTGTCCTGGATCATGACGATCGAGGCTATCCTCCTCCTCCTCCACCTTCTCCCGCAACAGCCTTTTCCCAAGCCCACCCCCCCCGTCCTTCCCCGGAGCGCTGGAAGGGTGGGTTCGAGGCGCGAGAGTCGCCGACGCGTAAGAGTGACCCTTCGCCGGGGTGACCTTTGGTGCGCGGCTTTTTGGCCCTCGGGGTGGCCCCATCGTCTGGGCGCAGTTCGAAAAACGGGTCAGTCTGGGCACCGGGAGGGGTCCGGGGGGCCGATTTTGAGGCAGATTTGTGCGCACCAAAGGTCACTCATGCCAAAGGTCACTCTTACGTCCCCCCCGAGAGAAGGTGGAAGGGGCGGGGTGGTGGTGGCACTGGCAGGAGGCGCAGCTGGGGGGCTCTGGCAATTACAGTCAGCAGATGAGCAAATGGGCGGTGGAGAGCATGAGCGCCATAGAGTGCAACCTCTTCTGGTCGATGATGGGGCTATCTCACAAAGCTGACCGCCCGTGGGTGCACCTGAGGCACTTCCTCCAGAGCCACGATGATCTTGTGAGGAAATCTGGAGCGGGCGCCCTGGCACATCTCGTGTGGTACAAGGGTGAAGAAATTTACAAGGAGGCCGTCGAGGCCTGCGATATTTCATATTGGGAGCAGTTCTTGTTGGATGATGAGGCAACTAATCAGCAAGATGCTGGTGATGATGGTGATCGGCACTCCCCAGTGCTCGACCTGGCGTCGTGCGGCATCGAACTTGGCACGGCGTGCGCGACCAACTTTAAGTGCAGGGTCCTTGACAGGATCCACGTGTTGCCTGCCACGATCTTGTTGTTTGGATACAAGCGGCCGGGGCATAAGTGCGCCAAGAGGCTCGCCGTCGCCCAGGAAATTCTCGACCCGGCCACCACGGAAATCAACGCCGTCAAGCTCCGGAGCTGGCAAAAAGGGGGGCGGGGGAGTCACGGGGGGGAGTCGAGATGGCGGGGGGGGAGGGATTGGGGGAGGGAGACAGGAGAGGCAGGCAATCGCGCGGCGGCCTTGGCCTTGGTCGAGACCCGCCGCTCGTTCCTGCCGGCGCGGGAGGGGAGGGGAGAGGAGGAGGCGGAGGAGGAGTAGGATGAGAAGGAGGGTGGAGGAGGGAGGAAGGTTCATGGTCCCTACGGCCCCTATGGCCCTACTCCACCATTCCCCCATGTCGCCTGTTGCCCTCTCTCCCCTCGGACTCCCAAGAGTCCTTAGATGGGGGGTTCGAGGGGAAAGGGGCAGCACCCCCCCGCGCGAGTGCCGCCAACCCCCGGCCCCGCACAGCCGCAGGAGCATCGCGCGGGATGACCTCGAGCATTGCATTGGGACCGAGGGAGAGCTACACCCAGATTTCCATCGTTGGGCTCGAGACTTGTGTGCTCGATGGCACGCTGATACCGAGGCTATGGAAAGTTTTAACAAAACAGTGAAAATCGAGGTCCAGCGCTGCCCCCATATCGGACAAGGTCTTCTCTCGTCTCGTGCGGTCAACAAGACGTTTGTTCACTCCAATGTGCTATCATCCGACGTCAGTCGGCGGGCGAGCGCCCCTATGTTGATCGGCGGCGCGTTGAGGGTGGTAGGGGGAGGGGTGTGGGCTTCTTAGAAAGCGGGGTGCTTCTTAAAAACATTTGGGGGCTTCTGAGAAGCCTTTGGAGGGCTTCTAAGCGCCCCGCCCTCTCAGAAGCAAGCCCCCCCCCCCCCCCTACCGCCCTCGGCCCGCCGCCGAGTTGAAATGGTCTTTGGTGCAATCTGGATTCCTAGCATTGTGTGATCATGCTGCGACGTCCTTTGAGTGCGGCTATGACGTCATGGCCGATATCGACAGGTACGACACAACCGACATCGTGCTCGCGGCGCTCGCGGCGCCGGCGGCGGCGGCACCGGCAGCGGCGGGCGATGATCATCCAGCACAACCGTTGCCAGTGCCAGTGCATGATCAGCCAGTCGGAGCCGCAGCAGGTGCGGCAGCCTTTGCGGCGGCTGTGGAGGACGCCATCGGCGGCAGCGATAGCGGACCGGCGGCAGCGGCCCCTGCGGCAGCGGCAGCGGCGCTGACGTTCGATGAGCTGGTGCACCAGGCGATGGCTGCAGACGATAGTCTCGTTGCTCTTGCGCCCCCCGATGCTCCGGCCCCGGCCGCGGCGCTGCCGGCGCTGCCTGCTGGGGGTGCCGCAGCCGACGCCGGCGCTGCTGGAGCGCCGAAGGACCCTGGCCCGCGCGGGGCGAGAAAGAAAGAAAGACAGAGAGAGAGAGAGAGAGAGAGAGGGAGTGAGGGAGGGAGGGAGGGAGGGAGAGGGGGGGGGAGGGGAGGGAAGGAGACAGAGAGACGCAGACAGACAGACAGACAGACTACCCCTCTGGCTACATCCTCCACTCTTCCCTTTCTATTCCCTTTCTCCTCTCCTTCGCCCGCCCTCCCCCCCCCCCGTTCCTGCCCCCCTCTCTGCCTGCCCTTTCTTCCTTCCGCCCCCCGCGCTCTTCCCCGGGCGAGCGTCTGGGAATGTCCATTCCGAGCCAACCCGCAGGAGGACGTAGCGGTTTCAATCCATTCTCAGCTGGTGAAACATTGGCGCGCAGAGGCGAAATCCGATGCCATGGAGGGCTTCCGCTCGGCGCTGTGCTTCGGCATTATCGATGAGAATTCTGCTTGGCGGTGCTTCGGTAAACGAGGGTATGATCTACATCTCGTGCAGTGCGACCCCCTCTCCGACACTGCGGACTGGCGGGGGTCGAGGGAAGAATCACCACGATCTCGATCGATCGTCTCGTCGCTCCCCCGCCCGCCCTCTCCCCCGCGCCATCGACTCGACGATTGTTTCAAAATGGCTGCGCTGACGCTCGGGAGGGCCCCCGGGGGGCCGGGGGAGGAGGAGGAGGAGGAGGAGGAGGAGGAGGAGGAGGAGGAGGAGGAGGAGGAGGAGGAGGAGGAGGAGGTGGAGGAGGAGGAGGAGGGGGGGTAGGGCCCAGGGGCCCCGCTCGGCGCCGGGGGGGCGCGAAGCCGATCCCAACGCGCCCGACAGAGGACCCCATCAAGCCCTTCAACATCATCTCGTCCCGCAAGTTCGTGCAGGATGCTTTGCTGCATGGAGGGGCTGGTGTCAATCTTTGGGTGAGAGACTTTGCTGGCCTTGCTCCGCGCGGCAAGTTATCTTTTGGCGCCCGGCGCGACTGGCACAGACTCGTGTATGTTAAGCCTAAGTACGCCGGCCCCCACGGAGGTGCAAGGGGGCGCGGCCGCGGCGATGGCCGGGGAGGAGCTAAGGGCAAGGGCAGGGGCCGCGGCAAGGGCGGCAGGAAGGGCGCTGCAGTGGCGGCCGCAGTGGCGGACAGGCCGGCGGACGGCAGCAACGACGAGGCGTCTGCTAGCAGCATCGACGGTGACGATGACGAGGGCTCCGACGACGACAAAGTTGGACTCGATGCCGACGACATTAAACTTCTGGGTGACATTGATATCGGGGGCGGCAAAGAGGTGGGTGTCCAAGAGGGGGGGGTGCAAATCATGACGGGCCCGCGGCGGCATGTGCGCGGCCCAGCGGGGGGGCCAGGGACGTAAGGAAATAAGAAGAGGCGCCATGAAATCTGGGGAAATATCATGGCCCACGCCATGATATCCACCCCCCCCTAGTCATCGCCCCCCTCTCTTGCGCCCCCGATGATAGGCGCGACACGACCAGGGCAATTGAGTACACAGGCGAGACTGAGGATCTCTTTACCATTGTCACCCCTGTCGTGGTCGAGGCAGCTGTTGCTGCTGATCACGCTTCACGCGTGGGTCAGGTCCTTGATCTTCCAGGTGCTGCAGTTGGCGGCCCCGGGGACGGCCCGGCGGTGGATGCGGGGGAAATGCTCTCTCTTTGGTCTCAGAGCGCCGAGAAGAGTCTCAGGGCAATCACTTGGATGCAGGGCCGCGTTGATCTCCCGCTGGGCAATCGGCAAGAATGCGCACTTATCTCATACAAAGCAGGTGAGCACATGGCAGTCTCGCTGATTCACTTCCCCGCACCGGGACCGCCACACTTGAGCAGAGCCCAGAAGGTTGACAAGGATGAGCACAACATCATCATGTTCTCTACGGCACTCGGTGGGAAACCGATTAGGTCTTTTGAGGCCGACGAGCCGGTGGTCTTAGTTCCGGCGACTGGCCTCAGAATGCGCAAAGCGAGAGATCAGAGGGAGGTCGTCACCGAGGAGGTGTTGGCGATCATGAGGATGGCTCAGCAGTGCATGAGCGGTGGATTCGCGTGGACAGACGCCATGCAGTGCGTCGTGTGTGGCCTCCATGCGAATGCAAAGGCGTGCCCAGTGTGCACGCTTGGGTTTCACCACGAGTGTTGCGTATCACTCGTCGAGGCGGCGGTCGATCGCATGCACGATGGGCCCGCCCGGCCAGCGCGCGGCATGCCTGCGTTCGCGCGGTCGGTCGGAATGCTGTGCCCGTTGTGCTCGCATTTTCTGGTGTGAATTTAGAGTTCGCAAGCTGCCGGCGGCTGCCGGCCCGCTTGCCCATGCGACGGCCCCTGCGACTGGTGCAGGGCCGAGGGCCCCAGGGCCCCGAGGGCGATGCAGCTGGCCGCCCTCGCTCTCGCTCGGCGCTCGTGCTCTCAGCCCGCCGAGCAAGCAACTTGACCGCAGGCGTAGCCGATCACAGCCAGTGTGCCAGACAGACAGTGTTTCAGCCGACAGCAGCGGCGAGTTGCTAGCAGTCTCTGGGAAGGGGCAAAGGGATAGGAGGGCCGGTAGGTTCAAGGCTGTGGCGACCCCAGCGGTGGCGACCCCAACGCGGGCGTTCAAGGCTGAACGCCGCCAGTGGCCTAGCGCGATCGCGGCGATCGGCAAGCGGCCGATCGCCCAAGGGTAAACGGTCCACGCGGTGTCAGGAACCAACGCCGACTTCATTTAGATTAAATCCAGGGCTGATCTGACCGTTCTGACCTTCCCTCTCGCTCGTCTGGCGCGGCCTCGTCTCACGCAGTCAGTGGCTCCGATAGTCGGCTTGGACGTCGGCTGCCGCCAAGCGGGGAGTCTTTGGAGATCGAGAGATCGAACGTGAGTTGAAGAGCGGGCGTCTTGTTGAACCCAACGAAGTTGCGAGGTCGAGTGGACAAGGGGGTAGAGGAGGAGTAGGAGGAGGAGCCGGATGGAACCATATGCCGGCTGCGACGACAACAGCAAGGGTCGGAGGGTGAGGAGGAGGAGGAGGAGGAGGAGGAGGAGGAGGAGAAGGAAGAGGAGGAAGAAACGGATGATGAGGAGGATGAAGAAGATTGGGGAGGAGGGGGGGAGGGGGAAGGGATAAGGAGGAGATTGAGGAGGAGTAGGAGGAGGATGAGGAGTCCTCAGGAGGAGACACCCTTTCCACCGCAGCGTGCTTGCTCGCGCCTCGGGGAGGGGACCGGGAAATGAGGATAGAGACCACCCACAGTTGGAGGAGATTGTGAGGACGTGGAGGACGTGGAAGAGGGTGTCTCCTCCTTCTCGATGTCTGCGTCGACCTTTCGTGCAGCCTCTAGTGACAGAGGCAATTTTCGGGCCTCTGGATCTGAACAACAACGATTCGGGATGGCACAGCGGTCTTGGAGACAGGGTCGAGACATCCTGGGTCTACGTTGCGAGTAAAATCACACTGTCAGGTTTCTGGTGCCACTGGCCGATATGAACGCACCCCCAGACGTGACCCTCCTGTTTAAGATGGTCTTTCAACGCGCTCTCTCACCCTGCCCCTGTGTAGGATTTTCCTTAAAAGCACTCCCTGACCACACCCCTGTGTAGGATTTCCCTTCAACGCTCTACCTGACCCTGCCATACTGTGTAGGATTATCCTTCAACGCTCTACCTGACCCTGCCCTCCTGTGTATGATTATCAGTCAACGCGATATCTGACCTTGACCCTGTGTATGATTTTCCTTCAACGCACCTCTGGACCCTGCCCATGTGTAGGATTTCCCTTCAACGCGTCCCTGTCCCTGCCTCCCTGTGTAGGATTATCCTTCAACGCTCTACCTGACCCTGCCCTCCTGTGTAGGATTATCAGCCAACGCGATATCAGACCATGTCCCCGTGTACGATTTTCCTTCAACGCTCCTATGCACCCTTCCCATGTGTATGATTTCCCTTCAACGCTTCCCTGTCCCTGTCCTCCTGTGTAGGATTTTCCTTCAACGTGCTAACTGACTCTGTCTTACTGTGTAAGATTATCATGCAACGCGATAGTTGACCCTGCACATGTGTAGTATTGTACTTCAACACACATATGGACCTGACCCCTGTGTATGATTTCCATTCAACACTTCACTGTTCCGTCCATCATGTGTAGGATTATCCTTCAACGCTCTACATGATTATGCCCTCCTGTGTAGGATTATCACTCAACGCGATACCTGACCATACCCCCGTGTAGGATTTTCCTTCAACGCACATCTGGAGCCATCCCATGTGTATGATTTTCCTTCAACGCGTCCCTGCAACTGCCCTCATGTGTAGGATTATCGTTCAACGCGATATCAGATCATTTCCATGTGTATGATTTTCATTCAACGCACCTATGTACCTGGTCTGTGTGTGGGATGTCCCTTCAACACGTCCCTGTCTTTGTCCTCCTGTGTAGGATTATCCTTCAACGCGCTAACTTACCCTGCCCTCCTGTGTAGGATTATCATGCGACACGATACTAGACCCTGTCCATGTGTATGATTTTACTTCGACGCACATCTGGACCTCAGCCATGTGTAGGATTTCCCTTCAACGCTCTACCTTACCCTCCCCTACTGTGTAGGAATATCCTTCAACGCTCTACCTGACCCTGCCATCCTGTGTAGGATTATCAGTCAACGCGAAATCTGACCCTGACCCTGTGTAGGTTTTTCCTTCAACGCACCTCTGGACCCTGCCCATGTGTAGGATTTCCCTTCAACGCTCTACCTGACCTTTCCGCCCTGTGTAGGATTATCCTTCAACGCTCTACCTGACCCTGTCCTCCTGTGTAGGATTATCAGTCAACGCGATATCTGACCCTGGTCATGTGTATGATTTTCCTTCAACGTACCTCTGGACCCTGCCCATGTGTAGGATTTCCCTTCAACGCATCCCTGTCCCTGTCTCCATGTGTAGGATTATCCTTCAACACTCTATGTGACACTGCCCTCATGTGTAAGATTCTTATACAACGCGATATCTGACCATTCTCATGTGTATGATTTTACTTCAACGCACTCCTGGATAGGGACCGTGTGTAGGATTTCCCTTCAACGCACTCCCTACCCCTGCCCCTGTGTATGATTTTACTTCAACGCATATCTTGAATATCACCATGTGTAGGATTTTCCTTGAACACACACCTGTATCATGACCATGTGTAGGATTATCCTTCAACACCTCATCATGCCTTCCCTCCCGTATATGATTTCAGTTCAACGCCTCGCTGCCCCTGCGCTCGTGTGTATGCTTTTCCTTCAACACATCTCATGACATTAACATGTGCTACTATGCTCCTATATAGTCCGTTGTAGGAAACATACAACGCTGAGCGCCCCGAGAGGCGAAACAAGATGAGGACTATGATTATCCCAGCAATGTCTTCCTCCTCCTCCGCATCCTCCCCCGCCCCCTCCACACTCCACGCGTCCATATAGCTGGGTCACCCCGAGAGCGCGGAGATAATCGCGCATCGCGCGTCGCGGAGTGGGCCAGATACCTGCCCTTCTCCAGTGGGCGGCGCGAGGGCCGCGTGAGGGCGCGAAGATAACCGCGCGACGCGCGACGCGCGAAGGTAGGCGACCTAGATGAAACAACACACGCATGCTTTTGCAGCCGTAGCTGTTTGACGGCTCATCTTCCATATGCCCATATGCAGGCGTTCCGGATAGCCTCTCGCTCATTACATGTGCTATTGTTGCTTTCGGTGGCAATGCCTCTGGTATTGGGTTCTCACCCAACGCCTTCACTGCGCACGTTGGCTGATCTCTTTGGCTGGGTAAAGCATTCGTTGGAGTACGCTGCCTGGGTGACTGGCAAAACGCCTGATGAGCTCAAGACAGCCATGGTGAATACTCTGGCCGACCACAGCATGTCGACCGCATTTTCTGGAATCGGTGCGCCTGAGAATGCCATGACGAGCATATGCTCTCATCTCGGGGTCTCTCCTTCACAGCCACTCTATGCGATAGAATGGAACCAGGAGTGCCGGAGAGAGTTATCAGCATCTCCGCGACGCCCGATATGCATGTTTTCAGATGTGAACGATTTTTGGAGCCCAGACAGATACGTTGATCAATCTTGGACCCTATCCAACTTCACTTCGGAGATCAAGAAAGGTGGGGCTGTCGTGCTATCGGGCGCATACTGCAGCTTGCACGACAGCTGGACTTGCAAACTGACTCGTGCAAAGCTCCACGTTGCAGGGACCCCGTGCCCAGACTGGAGCTCGCAAGGCTTGCGTCAAGGAGAACATGGGTCTGACCTTATGGCGACTATGGCATGGACCGCTCTTCGGTTCGAACTGGAAGACGACATATTCATGAATGAGAATGTTATAAAATTCCCGCCGGATCGTATCTTTGAGTGCCTTATGGGGAAGTATGTAATTATCACTGCTGTGTGCAGTCTGGTGGAGCAGGGCTGGCCACAAAGGCGCCAGAGACGGATCACGGTTGGCGTACACAAGTCGCGCATCGTGTGCAGCGTGACGTGGGACAGGTTCAACGACCTCTACAAGCGGGACATCGTCGGCACATCATGGAGGGTAATCATGTGCGCATGCCGCCAAGAACTTGATGAAGAACTGTCCTGGGCAATGGCACGGCCGGGGTCCTTGAGTGGGAAGAGCTTGGACGATGGCATCAAATATGAAGCTGCTCTCGCCGCCAATAAGTCGAAGAAGCGTAAGGGGGGGTCAGCTAACTGCAAGGCGTGGCTCGAGCTGCTCGATGATGACCCGACCCTTATCGACGACATGCGTGAACTACATCCTCAGACTTCGTTCACGCAGTGTATGACTGTCTGGGAGCTGATGAACGTCGTGAGATACACCAGATTGGCTCAGTCCATGTGCGGCTTCGAGTCCGGCGTCCCTGATGTGATTGTTGATGTTGGACAAAACCCTGACAAACGGAAGACGCTGGGCTCAGACAACGCCATTCCTACCATTACGAAGGGGTGCTATCTGCTGTACAGCTTGGTGGAGAAACGATGGCTCACGCCGAAGGAGCTCTTGCTGGCCCAAGGGTTCGCCGTCACCCCTGCCGCCAAGATTAATTCGGAGACGACGTCTTTTGACGTCGATAGGCCAGTGTTCCCACGCCACAGGGCAGACATCATTCGTCAAGCAGGCAACGCGATGAATGTCGGGATGATCGGGCTCAGCATGATATGGTCAAGCGTGTGCACCCGCCCTCTGACGCCTGAGGAGCTCGTCGCCCGTGCTGCCAGGAGATCTCAAGGCTCGACAAAGACGAAACATCAGACTACCTTGTCCCCATGGAAGGAACCGACACGCAATTCTTCCACCAGGGAGGACTCTTTCTTTTCCGCAGCCTCTGGCAGTGCCGCTGCCAAGCGCCCCAGCGATGCGGGAGACGCTGCCCCGTCGGCGCCGACGAGGAGGAGGCTCCGCGTGAAGGCGCCAGCGCCGCCTGGCACGTGGCCTTCGCCGCGGCCTTCGCCCGCGACAGGTTCCCGCGCAGCCTCATCTTCTCCGCCGTGCGTTTCGCAGGCTGATATGTTTTTCTCTCGCGCTTCTGGCGCGCGATCTGCGTGAAGCCGCCCGAGCATTTGGCGCGGCGCGGTCCAGCATGCAGGGGCGGAAGCGCTCGGGGAAACCCCTCGCGCGTGCATCGGTGAGAGAACCTCTTCGCCTCATCCTTCACCTCGTCCTCCCCCGCCGCCTCCTCACCCCATCCCAGAGGGCCACATCCCCTTCCCCGGTGCCCCTCCTTCCCCCCCCCTCCCCTGCCCTGAGGGGCCGAATCTTGTGCTTGGCAACAGGGGGGCAGGGCCAGGCAGGGCCCTCGACGTTTACGAAGCCACACGTTGGACCCGCCGGTCGGTTTGTCATCAGAAGGGGCTCAGGGTCCTTTGACTCAATCAACGATGCCCGGCCCCCTGGGCTGCCCTCCTCTCCTCCTCCCCCTCCTCCTCCTTCCTCGGATTCATCCACCTCCTCCTCCTCTCCTCCTCCTCCTCCTCCTCCTCCTCTCCCTAGGGGCCCTAAGGCTAAGGCCCCTTAAAAGGCCCCTAGGGGGCCCCTCGTCCTATTCTCGTGCTCTCCTTCTCCTCCTGTCCTGATCCCCCTGCTCTTCTTCCCCCTCCATTTCCCACCATAGCCATTTTGGCTTGCCAGCGGTGTACTGCGCACCACTCCCGACTGGTTCTTGTTCGGCCAGCAGCGCCGCCCCAGCGCTTGCCTGCAGGCCAACTCGAGATCGAATCCAGACCAGCCCAGATGCCGCCGGCGAAGGGTTCGGCATCGCAGCATAGTCTCGGGACTTATGGCGCCGGGATGAACGAGTCGGACCCCAAGTGGCGCGACGCGCCGCTCGGCGAGTTGTTCCCAGGGTTGGACGGGAACGAGTTGCAGTCCCAAGTCTTCGCGGCCTACCTCATGAATCCCGCGAGCCCGAACAGCCGCCTCCCCTTGTTCAATGCGAAGAAGAACCGTGTGTTCAGGAGGGCAGAGTGCAACAATCGCAATTATGTTAGCCACAGGGAGAAGCTTGTCAAGGACATCCTCGCGTCCGGCTTGATCGAGGGGGTTCGCGGGGAGGCTTGGGCCATCCCTGATGACAAGAGCCTCGCCTTCATCGATAAGGACCCAGAGTGCCAGTTCCTCCTCTTGAGCCACGCCACCCTCATCGAAGCGATCTACATCGCTGCCGAGAGGGCCCCGCACAACAAGTTCGTATTGGAAACTCTCAGGCTGGGTATCAGCTGTAAGATCTTCTTCCCGATGACTCCGCTGAGCATCTGCGTTTATTTGAAGGACCTGCACAATGCCTTCCACCGCGGGGCCCAGGCCAGCGTTCTTGAGAAGTACGACCAGTGCGTCACTTGCGAATCCGAGTGGGGCGACCATTGCAAGAACAAGAAGATAGTAGCTCGCAACCTCCCCACAAAGGGGCCCAACACGTACATCAAGCAGTACTGGAAGTGGATGACGGATAATCACTACAATGCGTTTCGCAATTGGCCCATGTTCTTCAAAGCGAAGAAGTTCGTTCGCCTCATGAAGAAGTTGAAGCTGTACAAGCGCTTCAGGGAGACCGCCGAGAACGAGTGCGACTTCGCGCATCCGGCTGTCGTCGTCGAGGACACCATCCACCTCAACCACTCGCTCGCCAACGCCGTCATGCAGTTCTCCGACGCGATCCCTGGCCCGCACATCAACATGATCTTGGCCGAGGCCTTGCGGCTGGTCTACCCAGTCGTTGTGGACGATGACCTGGGGCCTCGTCGCAAGCCAGCTGCCGTCGCCGACGCCCCCCCCCCACCCCACCCATCGGTTGAAGTATCGGGGGTGTCAGCGCCAGCTGTTTTGAACCCGTCGGGCTCTCTGGCCTCCAGGGGGGCCTAAGTGCATTGGAGTCATGGTGGGATCAACGGTCTCCTCGGATGCTTCCGCCTCGGGATAGATAGCCTCGAGCAGCCTCGATAAGTCTCGGACGAGAAAACACGTGCCGCGTCGGGGCTTCCCCGAGGCGATCTCGGGGCCATTGTTTCAGTTGGTCCTCCTCAGCTCCTTGGCCTACCTGTGCTGTCCTGTCATCCTCGCCTCCCTCCTCCGCCCCCTATCCCCCCCTTCCACCGCCCCCCGTCGACCTCGCTTCCCCCCTCCCTCCTCCCGGCCCGCCCTCTGCCCCTAGGACGTCGACGACCCCACCTGGATCTTCCGCACGAAGTCGGACGAGGCCAAGATCAAGGTGCTCAGGACGCCGATGTCTTCCACAGCCTTGTACCTGAGAGCGAGCAAGGCCGCGGCCAGCGACACTTCCCCCGAGGGCCCGAAGCAGCAGAAGAAGGGGAAGGGCAACGGCAAGGGCAAGAAGGGCAAGGGCGGCAAGGGGAAGGGTGGCAAGAAGGAGAAGGGGAAGGATTCAAAGAGTAAGGCAAAGGCAAAGGCTAAGGGCAGATCAGCCAACAAGAGCAATGCGAAGGGACTCACAGAGAGAGCCATCGACACCCTGCTTCGCGACAATGTGTCATCAACCGTCCCCCTCCTCGACGATGAGCCCGGCGACGATGACACCGCCGAGGGCACTGGCAACGGCAATGGCGGCGCTTGCTCCTCCTCCCAGCCCCTGGGGGCCTCCGCTCTGGTCGGCGCGGACGCGGTGGTGGACGCCGACTGCGAGGATGCCGAGATGATGTCCGACGATCGGTCCGACGCAGATGAGATCGCCGCCATGGAAATGGCCGAGGCCGGCTTTGAGGCGCCGGATACCTTGATGGACGAGGACGACCAGGGCGAGGGCGAGGAGTCCCAGCAGCCGCGCGGGGCTGGGGGTGCGAGGACAAGGCAGGCGAAATTGTTGGACGACGCTTACGCCCTGGTCAGCGGCGTGCTCAGCCATATCCCCGAGGATCGCGTCATCCAATCGAGCGTCTCGGACATCCGGGGTGAAATCGGAGGGGGAGGGGGGAGGGTGGGTGAGGGGGAGCGGGGGAGGAGTAGAAGATGGAAGAGGATGGGGATGAGGGATGATGAGGGGAGGAGGAGGGGGGTGAGGAGGAGACGGAGGTGGCTCGATGGGGAGGGCGGGCCTGGATCCCAGGAACCCGCGAGCGGGGGGGGTCTTCCCCTCCCCTTTTCCTCCAGTTCTCCAGGGACTCCAGGCCGGGCCTTACTCCTTACTCCTGTGCCTTGTCCTCGCAGCCCTCCCCCCCCTCCGCCGCCCCCTTCGCCGTTGGGCCGTCCGCGCTTCCCACAGGAAGCTTACCGCCAGTGCCTCTTCTTCTTTTTCAAGAAGGAGTCCCTTGTCCAGCTGCCAGCGGATACGAAGCCGAAGTGGTTTGAGGCGGTGAGGCCGTTGATCAAGAACCAGCTCGCGACCGCGCATGCCCACGCCCTGTCTCCCGCGGCCCTGCAAGATATCATCAAGGGGACGATGCCGAGGACTACAGAGCCGACTGCACCGTGCCCCGAGTCGGCTGACAGCCAGGTAAAAGCATCCATCTTGGAGGAGCACCGCCGTGTCCTGGCCATGACCGATACGAGTGCCGCCATCAAAGCATGGTCAGATGATAACATGGACATTCCGCTGGTGATGGCGCCAGATTTCGGCGCTGCCATGAGGGATGCGTTCGCGTACATGAAGAAGAGGGGCGACGGCGACGGCCCGCTGGAGAACCTTCACTTCGCCATGGCTTGCGCAGAGGGGCTGCGGAAGATCAGGCCCGGGACCGAGGACTACGAGAAGGAGTGCGTGGCTGCGTCGGCCCTGATGGCAGATCAGAAGACTACCGGCTGCGACAAGCAGGCGGCGGGGCCGAAAGAGGTGTGTGACATTTGGGCTTGCCAGAGTCAGGCGTTTGCATACTGCACCGTGCGTGCGGACATCGCGCTGTCCATCCTCCGCACGATTGTCGTCCCTAAGTTTCTATCGCCAGGGCGGGATACCGCCTCTGCGAAGGCCGCCTTCACGTCCCTCTCAGCTGCGATCAATGCCATGACCGAGGCACGCGACAAGATTGCCGCCGTCGACATCAACATGAAGCTGAATGCTGGAGCCGATACTGCCATCAATTGGGTGCAGTTCTGGACTCGGTGCTTGGCGGCTTCGTCGGCTGACAACGGGCCCACAGAGCTTCGCAAGATGCTCGACGGCGAGATCACCTCCATCGCTACGAGGTTCGACCATCGCGTGAAGGCGGAGGTGGATCGACTGGCCGCCGAGCAGCAGAAGGAGACGGGCACTGGCGGCGATGACGCAGCCCAGCAGGCCATGTGGCTGCCCAGCCCCCGCCTCCAGCACTGAGATGCACGTCTCTGACCGTCCTCCCCGAGAGCCCCCGCCGTAACCCGCTCGAGCTCGGGTCGGGCGGTGCCTTGGGGGAGATGGGCAAGAGGTGCATCCGTTGCAGCGTCGAGGGAGCTGGGGGGCCATCGTCATCGTCGAGGGGGCGTCGCTGCCGGCGGCGGCGCCTGCCGCCCAGGCGGTCAACACCGAGGGCCTGGCAAACATCGCGCACTCATTCGAGGAGCAGGGCAAGCAGTACATGAGCTTGTCCACAGAGGTGAGCGAGGAGAGCTTCGAGATCCCCGCAGCCGTTCGATGCGACGTCATGCAGATGATTATGTGCAGGATCAACAGCAAGGTCACCGAACACGCCATGCAGAAAGGCAGTTTGAAAGCCGACAAGGGCATGTCTGAGTTGCTCTACGACCGGAGCGGAGCGAGGAGGACACTCTGGTGCCGTGGCATGGCCACGGACGGCATCAGGATCGGCTTCACAGGACACGTGACCATGGTTCCTACCGTGGGCTGCTTCGAGCTCGGCGAGGTCGACCACGTCAAGGTCTACCTGAAGACCAACCTCCCGAAGAGCGGACCCATCATCGGCCACTTCTGCCCCGCGTGGCTCGTGCAGCCCGTGACCATCAACGCCGATACGGGCGAGGCGGCCCGGCAGGCGAAGATGAATCTCTTGTTCGATGAAGTCGAGTTCGAGTTCAAATGGAGTGCGACGTTCCTCGGCGCAGAGGAGACGATGAATATCAAGTTGAAGATCCCATACCTCGAGCTGGGCGCTGAGTTCAAGAAGCTGGAGCACCCCTTCGAGCTCGATCGGACCTGGAGCGATGGCCTCGAGACTTGGAGCCTCGGCGACCGCGAGAAGAAGTACAACCAGGCCATCGCGGACACGCTGAAGGCCCTCAAGCCCAGTGGATCTGCGACCGAACCGGTCTCAGAGGAGTGGCGTCGCATCGCTGACCACATTTTGTGATTTTCGCGCATTCGGCGCGCGGCCGAAAGTGTGTGTTCATATAGAGTCCAGCGCCGACTGCGCCCTGGTCGCCGAGGTGGAAGCCTCGAGGTGTCCCCTACCCCGCTACGCTCCACTCCTCAACTCATCAATCCCCCCTCCAATCCTCAATCCTCAACTCCTCAATCCACAGCCCCTCGCGGGCCCGGCCGGGCTGCGGGGGGGGGCGCTCCAGGCTCGCCCGCGCGGGCGCAGCCGTCAGGGCGCCGTCCAGCCTGCCATCCAGCGGCCCGCCATCGCCGCGCCTGCCAGCAGCGCGCGCACCCCCTCAGCCTTCTCCTCAGATTCTCCTCATCCCTCCTCCTCCTCCTCCTCCTCCTCCTCCTCCTCCTCCTCCTCCTCCTCCCTCGCCTTCGGTACTCGGCGGCCCGAGTCAAGAGCCAACTAGACTAGAGCCCACAAGCGAGGCTCTCAGGCCCTCGGGATCGTGCAGCTATGCGCCCCCAGGGCGGCCTGCAGCACAGCACTACTCGCTGGATCTCGCAGGGGGGAAGGGGGGGAAGAAGCCCGATCGGGCTGAGTGGACTGGGGCTCGGGGAGGCCGAGACTAGCGACCAGTTTTTGCCAGTGCGCCTTGTGGGTTTAGGCGCAAGCTCTAGCTGTCAGTGCGCGTGCGCATGCGTGTGCCACGTGTACCCAACGAAGTGAGATACGCGAGAACAGTGATGACTGTAAAAAACGATCTGGGACAGCTCGGAAAAGCTGGGGCCCATCCGACTCCTAGGTCACCCCCAGGGGCGCGAGGATATTTGTGCATCCGGCCTGGGCCGGCGAGCCGGGAGAGCCGCCCTGCCCTTCTCGGCGCGAGGGCGCGATGCGCGAAGTTAGGTGACCTAATGCGCCCTCAACTCTCCTGGCCCGCACCGCCTGCGCGGACGGCCGCGCGCGCCGCACGGCGGCCCTTGCAGGGGCGAGGCATGGGGCGAATCCGAAGGGGTGCGAGCGAGTCAGGAGGGGGCCGAACGATTCAGGTTGATCTCACCTGCTATCTTCACCTGAGTCGCCCCCCTGACTCGTTCGACCGCCCTTCGGAGTCGCCCGATCCCTCTTCTCGGAGGCGGGGGGTCGTGGAAGAGGAAGGGGGTCAGGAGTTGCGGGATCGAAATCCTCGATCCTCCTCTCCTTATTTATTCACCAGCCTACTCCCGCCTTCCCCATCCCCCATCCTTCTCATCCTAGCCCTCCTCCTTGCTCCCAGCGGGTCCGCCTGGCCGCAGCGGCTGGGCGGGGTGGCGGCGGCAGCCCGCCCGAGCCGTGCGGCCGAGGGGGCGAGCCAAGACAGTTGCGGTCAGCGGGGGGAGAGCGAGGCCGTCCGTCCTTCGCTTCTCTGCCACCGTCCTCCTCGGACTCCAGGTGACTCCGGGGAACAGGGGGCCCCTCCAGGATGGGGAGGGGGGGGGGGCACCTTCTTCTGGCCACTCCCAGGGGCGCGAAGATAACCGCGCGCCGCGGCCTGGGCTGGAGAGCTGCCCTACTCCAGTGTTACCCAGGACTGCCGCGCTGGGGCGCGAAGATAATAGCGCGTCGCGCATCGCGGGGCGCGACCCGCGAGCTTCAGCCCCCATCCCCCGTCATTTTCTCAGCGCTCCGATTTCGGTGCCCCTCGAAACCCCGCCCCTGCCGCTGCAGCTGTCTGTGGTCCGAAGTCACGCCAGGAGCGCGTCGCGCAGCGATCTCTTACTCCTTGTCGTTTCGGCAATGCTCGCTCTTCGCGACATGGGGGACACGGACACGGACGCCCCCCGCAAGACAGATCAGCAGAAGCTCGACGAGTTCTTTGAGAGGAGGGAGCGGGCTAGCATACCCCATGGGGCTTGGGGGAGAGAGCCACAACTTTACAGGTACAAGGTGGACCAGCATCGGAAGCTCGCGTGGGTTTCCACTGGGTTCCCTGGGCCGCCTTTCTCACCCAGCACAGAGTGGCCCGACTGGCTCCTTACGCACCCGCACTGCGTTGCGACTAGGAATTTGACGCACTGGGGGGCTGGTCACGACGGCGGGCCCAGGTCAATCGGGCCTCTCCCGAGAGAAAAACCGCAATGCCCTGTTACCTTGCCCCCGGCTTGCGCCCGATGCCAGACCCTGACCCCGAGTCCCCATATTATTCCTCCTTCTCCTCTGTATCCTTCTTCCTCCTGCTCCTCCTCCTCCTGCTGCTCCTCCTCCTCCTCCTCCTGCTCCTCCTCCTCCAATCCTTCTGCCTTCTGCCGTTGCCGCAACGTTGCCTGCCCCCCAACTTGGGGGCGGAGGGGGGTCGGGGTCGGGCAAAGGTGTCGGGCAGACTGGCGGGGGGCGGGGGGTTTGGGAAGGGGGGGGTCTCAAACCCAGAGGTGCTTTCACAGCAGTCATATCTTTTGGCAGTATCGCACTGTGCTCTTCTGCCAGTATTGCGGAGAGTGGACCAAGGATACTAACAAGCGCAAGCTTGTGGATGCCTGCAAAGGATCTCGGGAACAACTTCGCTACACCCCCCCCTCGCTCCCCCTCTCCCTCTCCTGTGCCCCCTTCCCCCTCGCCTTCGACGGCCTCTTCGGTAGTGAAGTGAACCAACCCGCGGGGGGGGAGGCGGGCCCGAGGGCCCACAGACATTAAGGAGAAGGGTGGAGGGCAGGGGGGCTGGGATGAGCGGGGCGCCCCCGAGGTTGGTACGATACTGACGTCCCGAAGAAGTACCGCAAGCTCGAGGACCTGGCCCAGGGCAAATTCCCGTACCCGACGAACAAGCCCGACCCCTTCGGCTGGGACCAGCGCGTCGCTGGCCGTCGTTCGAGCATCAGCATCGGCCCGGCGGAGCGCGCGCCACCGCCACCGCCGCCGCTGCTGAGGCTGCCGCAGATCCAGATCCCTGGGTCCCCTGAGGCTGAGGAGGCTGAGGCGGCTGAGGCGCCCCCGCAGGGTCAGCAGAGCCCGCAGGGCCCGGGCCCTGTGCAGATCCGCATCCTTGTTGCCGCTGCGGACGAGTGAACCACTCAGCTTGTCGACTGAGGTTCTCTAGGTAGGTCTAGGTAGCTTGTCACCACCCACCAGACCACCCCAACCCAACCCGAAGGCTCAGATTTACACTCGATTTCCAGTTAGGGGGGGGTCGGGAAACATCGAAAAAACACGTGTGGAACCCTTATCCCCCCCAACCCGAAATTCGGGTCTTCGGGTTGGGTTGGGGTGGTCTGGTAGGTAGTCAGCTTGCACATTTGCCATTTCAGTTGGCATACAGGGGCCTCTTGCAGCCTCTTGCATCCACCACCGTCCCACTTCGCAATCTCCGATCCCCTTGCCCTCTTCCTCCTACTCCTCCCCCTCACCCCTCTCTCCCCTCCCTCCAACACGCGTCTCTCAGCCCGCGGAGTCCGCAGTCCCCCTAAGGCCCTCAGGCTACTACATCGGTCGGCTCTTTCCTTTTTTCCATCGGCCCATCGGCCCCCCAGGTAGTGTGTATACTAGTTGGTCGGAGCCCTGGCGTAGGCGCAGGTACAGTACGGGGTCTATGAGGGTCGAAACCCCCAACGGCCTGTTGTCGCGCCCAAGCGACGCGCTGGCAAGCTGGGCGGACGCCCTCAGACAGGGAAAGCTGGACCCCCAGCTCGAACTAAGAAAAACAATGATAGCAATGCTATGCTTAGCAATGCTCCCTCCCCAACTCCGTACTCACTTGCCGCCGCGGCCGCCTGCTCTCTATCCTTTCCCCTCCCCCTTCCCCCGTTTCCTCGGCCCTCAAGTGTCGAAAACCTCCTGGGCCTCAGGCCGGCCCCGATGGCCTGCTTTATGATGCGGTCGGGGGCGCATCTACGCATCGATGTTTCACAGCAAACTGTGTTTGACAGTCAACTTTATAGCTTTATATATTTATGAAACTGATAACGGCGTGCGCTCTCGACAAGCTCGTGAGTGACCATCGTTCCGCGTGCTGAGGTTGTACTGTGCGCCCTTGCAACACATAAAACGTAATCCAATCCTTGAACTTTATTCAAGAATCGCGCTCTGGCTGGGGACTTCCTCTCACTTTATTGAAGGATCGCGCTCTCGCCTGATACTTCCTTGCAATGTATTCAGGCGCGGCGCCTTCGACAATCAGAAATCGCGCTCTCGTTTTATAAGTTCTACCGTGTGCTGCGTCCGTCATTCATAAGCTGTAGTTTATTATTATAGAGTGTGTGACTACATCCCAATTGTTTCATCATATTAGAATATCACATTCCAACTCCAGCGGCCTTCAATTTAGAACCCTCGCCGTTGAATGATTCCTTCAACGCAAGGGGGGCCCCAACCCTTATCGATCGAACCTGAACGACCTGCTTGTGCACATCACTAACACGCACACGCACACGCACACACACGCACACGCACACGCACACGCACACACACCGCACTCGGGCCGGGCGAAAGGGGGGGGATAGCAAAGGGGGGGGTCGAGAATCAGCTCGCGCAGCTGATTCTCCCGGCGCCGCGCGGCGCTGGAGGCGGCTGCGTATCGAAGGACGGGCCCCTCGGTGGGGCTGGAGCCAGCTGCACGCAGCAGATTTCGCACCCCCCCCTTGCAGGATCTTGCAGGATCCTAAAAAGGGGGGTTACGACATCTGCAGGATCTTGCCGGACCCTGCAGGATGCAGCAGGATCTCGCAGGGCGCCAGATCTTGCAGGATCCTGCAGGGCCAGGGTCGCTTTGACCCGGGCTTGGGAGCAGGATCCCGCATAATGCTGCAGTTTGCTGCAGGGCCAGGGTCGCATTGGCCCCGGTTTGGGCGCAGGATCCTTCAGGATCCTGCAAGGCCTGCTTGGCCCGGGTTTGGATTGACCCGGGTTAGCAGATCCACGGTTTCTGTGCTTGCTCTCCCCCTGGAGATCTCCGGGAGAAGCACACGCTGGGGCTCCCCTCCGTGTGTGCTGCTCCCCCACGGGTCAACAGTCGGACCTCCGGCCATCCCCTGGCTTGGTATCGCTCGGACGCGTGCCCTTTTTCTCGG